ACACACACACACACACACACACACACACACACACACACACACACAGAGGCACACACACACACACACGGACGCACGCACACACATCGATTTTGGATGCATGTTTCTATGCTAAACTTGAGGCCGTGATTATTGCAGCTTGTGTTAATATTTCACCACTCTGGAAACGCTCGTCTTCATGATTCCGATTGTAACACACGTCCCCACCTCGAGTATCACACAAGCCAAGCAGCCGATCCATGTCGTGACAAAAGTCCTTGATTGTTAGCGCGAACGAATCAGCCGATCCGACAGGAGTCCGTTTCGGTTGCTATGCTTGTTTTTTCCCATCTACCAAAACGGCGGGACGTGTAGGTTTGTGTGTGGCTAGGCGCTGCTTGCCGAGCGGCTGCCGACTTCGACCTGGCGTAAGTGGCTGCGGGGGAGGGTGCGGCCATGGCAGTGGCCACGTCACCCCAGCGTGGTCGGCGGCGGAAATTTACCGCCACAGAAAGGCTAACGGCTTTCCTTCTCCGCAGAGAGATCAACAGCGTTCGTCGTTGAGTGCGGCAGCCATGGCCAACCATGACTACCACCAGGAGCACGAGGAGGAGGCGCTGCACCTGCAGCAACAGAGGCCGGAGATCATTTGGTCCCCGCACGGAATTGGCTGGGACTGTGGGATTATGGAAGACGATTATTGGTTGTGTCCTGAGATGCGTCGGCTGGCGCTCCAGTTGCGGGAATACCGCCCATCTGGCGTTGACTTCTTGGCATCCGTTGAGGGACAGAGGGTAGAAGAAGAAGAAGAAGAAGGAAATGAACAAGCAGAAGGAGGTCGGTCAGGACGTAGAAGAGGAAGCGACACGTGTCAAGATGTCGTTGAAGGTTCTAAAGGAGGACATGATGTCGGGGGTGATGTCGGAGTTGGGTGTCCTAAGACCGGCGGTGCACCGTCTTCTTCTTCTTCGTCCGTTCCTTCCTCTACAAGAAGCCATAGTGAGGAGGAAAGCCGTGGCGACGATGCCGCTGCTGCTGGGCGAATCGGCGAATCGGATGAAGAATCTTGGCAGGTGGGCTGCAGCCGCCTCAGCTTGGCCGCCTACAGCAGCGCGCCTGCGCCCTGTGCTAGTGCTGCAGGCGCGACTCCGATGTCGGGATTGCTCGTGGAGACCCCCGCCGCCACCAAGGGGAAGCGCGTGCGCACACTCTGCCGCGTGAAGAAGAACGCCGCCGTTCTTGTTCCGCTCTTCCGCCGCAACGGGGAGTTGCGCGTGCTCTTGACGAAGAGAGCGTCGGCGATGACGTCGCATTCCGGCGAGGTAGCGCTTCCGGGGGGAAAGCGAGACGAGGGGGACAGCGATGATGCCGCGACGGCGCTGCGGGAAGCGTTCGAGGAGATCGGCCTTCCGCCTGCCAAGGTCCGAGTGGTAGCGAGGCTGGAGCCGTTCTTGTCAAAGCATCTGTTGACAGTGTCGCCTGTGGTGGGGTTGCTACCGAGCACTGGAGTGCCGAAGCTGCAGCTGAATGAGGAGGAAGTGGAGACTGTGTTTGATATGCCACTGGAGACCTTCCTCAAGGAAGATGCGCATATGCATGATGACTTGGAGTGGCTGGGGCTTCCGTATAGGGTGCATCATTTTTGGCATGACTGCGACGGCGTGCGCTTCCATGTGTGGGGACTCACGGCCGCCATTCTCATTCGAGCTGCCGCCGTGGTCTTCCAGCGGCCTTCGGCGTTCAAGGAGTTTCATCCCGCTGTACCGGATTATGCCTCGGTGCTGAGAATCCTCGCTCAGCGACGCCTGCTTCAACTGTAGGAGGAGGTCAATCCATATCCATATCCATATCCATCCATCACCAGTGGCGCTCTCTCCCCATGATCCATGATCACGGCGCAGCGCATGTCTTTGTTTCCACATGATCCATGATCACGGCGCAGCGCATGTCTTTGTTTCCACATGATGATCACGGCGCAGCGCATGTCTTTGTTTCCACATGATGATCACGGCGCAGCGCATGTCTTTGTTTCCACATGATGATCACGGCGCAGCGCATGTCTTTGTTTCCACATGTTGATCACGGCGCAGCGCATGGCTTTGTTTCCACATGATCCATGATCACGGCGCAGCGCATGTCTTTGTTTCCACAGTCGCGTCGGCGTTTTTGGAGCAAATGTATACACGCTGTTTCTAATTAAAGATTATTTTGCGTGTACGAGAGCAACTTGGCCATTGCTTGTCACTATTCTCTCCAGTCTCCGTACCGTAACCAAGTCTTTCAACTTCGTCAATTTGTCAGATGTCAGAGCGGTTGTGCGTAATCAATTCTAATCCATTCTAATCAATTCTAATCAATTCTCTCTCTCCCACGGCATGGCGTAATCAAGTCTAATCAATTCTCTCTCTCCCACGGCATGGCGTAATCAAGTCTAATCAATTCTCTCTCTCCCACGGCATGGCGCATTGTCTGGCTGACTGCGTTAGCTACTGGTAGTGCCGAGCGAAACCGCTTTCTGTCTTTCACGGGCTTTCTTTTCTGCTAGTTCTTGTAGATATTTGACGTGTCGGCCGCACCGCGTGATCGCTTGTGTGTGTGCTCGTTTGTGCGGGTGTGTGTGTGTGTGTGTGTGTGTGTGTGTGTGTGTGTGTGTGTGTGCGTGGGTGTGTGTTTGTGCGTGAGTGCGTGTGTTTGTGTGTGCGCGCGTGTGCCGTGGGGTGTGTACTAGTGTGCGCGCGCGCGCGCGCGCGTGCGTGTGCAATGTTCCGCCGCACGGTCAGCTTTTGTCCGTGTAGGTCCCCAAGATCCTAAGGGTTTGCGTTGGTACTCGATCGTCGATACAGGGCCGACTGTGCATTGTTTTTCAACAGGCCAGGTGGCATCATCGTAACCGTGAACCCGCTGTGGGCACTCGACAGGACTGTTTGGAGGGGTTGTCGTGGGGGCCGCTGAGAGTGGGACGGCAGGGTATTGGGGGTGGCAATGTCGCCATCATTGTTATGTCGTCATCTCCTTCCTTTCCCTCTCCTCCTTTTTCGTGCTCGTCTGCACGCTCACCCATCAAAATTTAGCCGTCTTCTCCAGTGTGTGTGAACACGGCTGTCATCCTCCTCATCAGGTAAGGGTTGAGGTGGATGGTATATATGCCTTCATGATCATGTCATCGCTCTCTTTTCTCCGTCCCTCACCGTCGTGTTCATGTGCTTGCTTGTCTACTTCCTCGCCCATCAAATACCCAGCGTCGCTTCCGATGTTAACACTACGGTAGTCATCGTTTTCGTCATAATTGTTCTTTTCAGGGAGTCTAGGTTTGACATTATCATCCCCATCACCATCACCCATCACCATCACCATCACCATCACAGGGAGTCTAGGTTCTCGTCAGCAGCAGCAGCAACGGGTCAGTAACCATCGTCATCATGCAATCGCACTGTGACCATCGGCGTCATGCAGTCCTTTTTTTTTTTTTTTCCTGCTCGCACCTTGCCTTCTACACGCCGAGGCTTGGCCTGGACGTCAGAGGGTTTCAGGGATCGCAGGCTAGATTAAGGACTTGCAAACCACAACCATGATGATGATAATGATGATGACGATGATGATGATAATGATGATGATGGATGATTGCAGATGATGATGATGACGGATGATGACGATGCCAAGTCCCGTAGCCCACAGATAAATGATGACGATGCCAAGTCCCGTAGTCCACAGATAAACGTGCCACTGATTCCACGTCATTATTATCTGTGGGCTACGGGACTTGGCATCGTCATCATCCGTCATCATCATCATCATCATCATCTGCAATCATCCATCATCATCATCATCATCATCATCATCATCCGTCATCATCATCATCTGCAATCATCCATCATCATCAGCATCATCATCATCATCATCATCATCGTCATCGTCATCATCATCATCATGATGGTTGTGCTTTGCAAGTCCTTAATCTATCCTGCCATCCCTGAAAGACGTCCAGGCCAAGCCTTGGCGTGACGGTTACCATTGTCATCATCATGGCTTCTCCTTGCCGTTATCGCCCAACATCTCTTATCCATTTTCTTCTCCTTCCTTTTCTTTCCTTCTTTCCTTGCGTTTTCGCAGCTTCGGCAGAAACATATTGGCCTCCTTTGCCGCAGCATCCACAAATTGTTCGGTGTTGTCACTATCCTCGTCATTGCTCTCCTTTGCCTTCATCACAATTATTTCAAAGGCTCGACACACAATCATCTTCATCATTACCTCCTTTGACTTAGTTCTTCCTTCTTCTTCCCTTTCGCCTAACGCATCTCGCCTTCAGGGTCGGGACATCTTCGTCATCGTCGTCAGTGACTTCAGATCCATATTTTATACTTCTCCACACAATTTATGGTTACCTCCTCGGCGTCGAACAGGTCCTATGGAACGAACTATCGAACGAGCGGCGCCCTCACGTCATTGTGAGATTCACCAATGCGAAAACCAGCATCACCATCTCGCCTCGTCCCTTTTCCTACCCTGCCAAGGCCCTGCAGAACTTGTAGAGGGGTTCTGCTCTAATCCTGGCAAGGACCCCTCCTCATCTACTGATGGGAGCTGACATGGCATTATGTTACAAAGTCCTGACATGAGCGAGCAAAGGGCCCAACATCAGCCTACTGATGGGAGAGCTGACAGGGCATTATGTTTTATAGCCCAACATCAGCCTACTGATGGGAGAGCTGACATGGCATTATGTTTCATAGTCCTGACATGAGCGAGCAAAGGGCCCAACGTCAGCCTGCGTATTGAGGGCCCCAACATGCCCGAGATTATGGCCCTTTTCTGTGAGAGCGAGCTGTGATTGGAGCAAGCCGTCACTCTCCCTTCCATCATTGACTGTTGTTGCCTTTGAGTTCTTCGGCTGCAGCATCTCTAATCGACTAGCAGTAATTAGTCTATAGATAGATGTATCAATTACTCTTGCTGGAGTGGGGCATGGGGCTTTGATGGATGGGTTTTGGAATATAACTAGCCCAGCGGTAGCAGTCCGAAATCGGGATCGCAGCGACGCTTGGAGGTTCGTCGAATTCTGTGCTACTGCCACTTGACTCTTAGGCTTTTGAATGGCCGAGCTGGAACGATGCTGGTCGAAGCTGCGGGTTTTTGATTGTGCTGCCCCGTAACTCGAGCGTGACGGGGGCTCTGGAGGCTGGGCAAGAGGTCTAGGGGATTGCCGCGCCGAGGGGGGAAGGCGGTTCTCTGTGGTTGTTCGGGGCCTGTTATGGAGACGATGCTGGCCGGAGCCGCGGTGGGTCGTTCCACCCTGGGCCCAACAGAAGGGAGTGTCTTGAAGCAGGTCGCGTTGGGTGTGAGGTCTCAAAAAGGCTTGAGAATGAGGATAAGAGGTTGAGGCAGGTTGTGGGTCGGATGGCTGAGCGTCATCTTAGTGTGGTTTTGGCTTTTCTGGCTTCTTTTCCGGGCCTTTCTAAATCTTATGAAAGAAGATTTGTGGCTTTTCTCACTAGCCCTTCTGAGGCCGTTGTGGTGAATAGTTGGTGGCTAAATAGCTTAGTGATTGATTCATGCTTTTTCTGAAACTTCAGGAATTCTCTTCAGTGTTCTCAGCCGAAGCCGGGTAATGGCCCCAGTATCTCAATGCGTAGTTTGTATAATTTCATATGCGACGCTGGGCCCGGTTCCCAGCACGTGTTGCTCCCCACGAATAGATTGGAGCATTTGCCCCCCCCCCCCCCAACAACAACAACAACAAAAATAAATAAATAAAATTACTGGTAGCATTCATTTGGTGTTTGGTCCTTGCATGTGGAGTATACGCAACCCTCCCTTATGTGATGACCTACCCATCCTTGAGGATTATTCCTCTGCACATTCTCGGAGCCCCAACACTTCCGTCCTTGGGGATGAGGGTGCACAGCATTATTCCTGTTATGTGTTCATTGCGTTCTCTTTCTCTTTCTTTCTACCTGTTATTCCTGTTATGTAACTTCGTCAGTTTATCTTATGGGGAATCCTGTCCTCATCATATTGGCTTCCGACCCCAATCAGTTGGTGTCATGCCTGTGTCCGTGCATGCATGCCTGCACCCGTGTGTGCGTGCCTATGTGTGTGTGTGTGTGTGTGTGTGTGTGTGTGTGCGCGTGTGTGTGTGTGTGTGTGTGTGTGTGTGTGTGTGTGTGTGTGTGTGTG